TATCCATTCATTTATTCATTCATTTTCTATCTTTGTACTCCCCGAGTCACCATATAATTATTCCGTCTTTCCATCTTTCCATCACTGCACATTTTCTTTCTTTCTCTCTTCATTCATTCATTCATTCATTTATTCATTCATTCAACTTGTATTTTTCTAGTACCCTGTTCTCCATATTGTCATTTCTTTCTTTCTTTCTTTCATTCTTTTTTCTTCTTTCTTTTTACTGTCTTTCTTTCTTTCTTTCTTCATTCATTTATTACTACATTTACTATATTTCTACTCCCCTATTCTCCATATAATCCCTTCGTTATTTCTTTCTACATTCAATTATTCATCCATTTATTCATTCATTTTATATCTTAGTACTACCCTAGCCTCCATACTCCATATAATTATTTCATCCTTCCTTCATTCCGCCCTTTCTTTCTTTCTTTCTTTCTTTCTTTCTTTCTTTCTTCATGAATTCATTCATTTTGTATTTTTTACACACCTTTTCTCCTTATTGTAATTTCTTTCTTTCTTTCTTTCTTTCTTTCTTTTTTCTTCATTCATTACTATATTTTCTATATTTCTGCTCCCCTATCCTTCATATATTCATTTCTTTCTTTCTTTATTCAATTATTCATTCATTCATTTATTAATTCAATTTCTATTTTCTACTCCCCTATTCTCCATATAATTCATTCCTCTTTCTTTTTTTCTTTCTTCATTCATTTATTACTATATTATATATATATCTACTCCCCTTAAATATTCTTCATATAATCCTTCCTTTCTTTCTGACTTTTTTTCATTCTTTCTTTCTATATTCAATTATTCATTCATTTATTCATTCATTTTCTATCTTCATACACCCCTTGTCTCCATATAATTATTCCGTCCTTCGCCCTTCCTTCATTCCATACTTTCTTTCTTTCATTATGTATTTTCATTCATTTTGTATTTTTTACTCCCCTATTCTCCATATTATCATTTCTTTCTTTCTTTCTTTCTTTCTTTCTTTCTTTCTTTCTTTCATTCATTTTTTCTTTCTTGTTTGCTTGCTTGCTTTATTTATTTATTTATTTCTTCATTCATTCATTCATTTATTCATTCATTGGACGTTTGATTTTCTATATTTCTACTCCTCTATACTCAATATAATCCTTTCTTTCTTTTTTCATTCATTAATTCATTTACTTAATCATTCAATTTCTACATTTCTACAATGCTATTCTCGATATAATTCTTTAGTTCTTCCATTTTTATTCATTGATTCATTTTTTTTTATCTTTCTACACCGTTATTCTCCATATAATACATGCATTTTTTTCTTTCTTCATCATTCATTCATTAATTAATTTATTCATTCATTTTCAATCATTCTACTCTCTTATTCTCCAAATACATGCGCAGGAGAGATGGATGCTAGGAATTTTAACAAATTTATTTAACCGATGAAGTCCTAAAGGATAAAACTCGTCATGAGAAAGATTTTTTCACTTTCTTATACATTTTCCCCCAATATTGTTCCTGATATATAAAAATATAAAATATATATCATATATATATATATATATATATATATATATATATATATATATATATATATATATATATGCGTGCGTGCGTGCGTGCAGCGTAGGTGTAGGTATTCACATATATAGAAGATAGGACGAGAGTATATGATCGGCAGGTATCGACCATCCAAAAGTACTGGCAACGTTATTATGACCATATCATCGTCTTCCGCCTACCATTTTCCGTTGTAAAGTCGTTGATTATCGGCGCTGTCTCTATTTCCAAGTACCGGAAGCAGCTCGCGAAATTTTCAGCTCTTTCAGCGCCTTTCAAAGCGACTTGCCAATCTGTCAGCCTGTCTTCAAATGCACGCAGCGAAAAGGGCGCGGCTCACAATGTTACAGTTGATCTTGTACCGTTGTTTTATTTTTGACCCTGTTTTCTTTCGCATTCTTTTGTATGACTTTCTTTCTTTTTTTCTTTTTTTTTATTTATTTATTTGCCATCTTGTTTTTCTTGAAAAAAAAAAACTCTCTTTCGTTTGATTGATATAGTATCGTCTGTCCTTATGGAATAGCCTCAGCGTGCGTGCAAAACGTTATATACTACCGACTGTTTCGTGACAGGCCAAATGGTGGGAAATTGATCGCATTTGCGCGGGAAATTGGACTCTATCTGTCTTTCTTTCTTCTGTTTTTTTTTTACCTTTTACTTTCGTCTCTAAATTTTCCTTTTAACATGTTGTGATCTTAAACAACATTTTCCTTTTTAAGTTTCGCCCTCTTTCTACCTATTCAATCAACCTTTCCTCATCGACAATATCGATCTAACTGTCTCTGAGAACCTTATGATGCAGCATGGTGTTGTTCACTGTTACAAGTGGCAATGTTAGAAGAGGAACAAAATGCTGCATATTGAATGCTGAATATCAAGGAAAGCAGGGAGACCATAACAATCAGAGGAGTGAAAATATTAAACAGCTACGAGAAGACGGTGGATTTTAGTATAATTGAGAGCAAGATATGTGTGTGTATGTCTGTGACTGTGTGTCTTTGTCCATGTGTGTTCGCCCATATGCGGTGGAAGATGACAACTGGAAAAATCTTAATTTTGACGACGCGTTTCGTCTTCAGACTTTTTCAATGTAAAAATGAAATCAAAATGTTTTTTCTTGTTATAGTTACATTACAAAATCCAAATTGAAAAAAATCAAATTCGTATAAGAAAACTGAAAAAAAATAAAATTGTTTTTTTGCTGAGGAGTGTTGTTTTGCGACATTAAAAGCAGAGACACTTTTAAAAAATTTAAAATGTCGCAATGTCCAGTTGTCTTCTTATACCAATTTCATCTGGGAAATTAACTATGCATATGTGCGTGTAATAACGACGCGTCAACGTTTGCAATATGTTACAAATATTTACTGATTGTCAGGTCAGCCCATTCCGTATTTATGCAAGTGATATAAAACACCCTTTTCTTCACGATATATATATATATATATATATATATATATATATATATATATATATATATATATATATACACACATATATATATATATATATATATATATATATATTAAATATATTTATATATATATATATATAAATGCAAAAAGGAAAACATCTTATCCGACGGAGATACTTTATCAAGTCAGGATTTTATTTTGTAACAATTATTTATATGTAAAAGCGAAAATATTATTGCTCTTTTACATAAATACTCGTGCTGAATAAAAACCTAGCATATTTGCTTTGATAAAGTCACGTTTTGGCAAACGAAATACATCGTCTAAGATAAGTTTTCCTTTTGTCATTATTCTTATTATCCTTTTACAGATATACTTTATCAAGAATTTTACATATATATATATATATATATATATATATATATATATATATATATATATATGCATACATACATATATATATATATATATATATTTATTAAAGACATTTTTTATGTTTAACGTTGTTATTTATAGATACAAGTATTTAAGCAAATGCTCTGTTTATGATAAACAGTATTAAATAACATTTACCGGCCTGAATGTCCGAGAAATTTTCATAGAAAATATTCATTCTTTGACAGGATTCGAACCTGCATCCTATGACGTCATATATTAAGAAATGGACAAGATCCGACAATTTATTTATTAAAGACAATTTTTTTTTATGTTTAACGTTGATATTTATAGATACAAGTATTTAAGCAAATATCAGTTTATGATAAACAGTATTAAATAACATTTACCGGCCTCGTCCATTTCTTAATATATGACGTCATTTGTTTACATTTGATACGCCAGAGCAGTTATGAATGTACGAGATTCATGGAAGATTGAAGTTTATAAGCAGTAAATTCGACCTTGTCTACCGAAAGGTTCTTTGTGGCCGACGGTTAAGGCACGTCAGCGTAAATGACGGTTCCGTATAGGATGCAGGTTCGAATCCTGTCAAAGAACGAATATTTTCTATGAAAATTTCTCGGACATTCAGGCTGGTAAATGTTATTTAATACTGTTTATCATAAACAGAGCATTTGCTTAAATACTTGTATCTATAAAAAAAAGAACGTTAAACATAAAAAATGTCTTTAATAAATAAATTGTCGGACCTTGTCCATTTCTTATATATATATATATATATATATATATATATATATATAGAAGATAGAGATTGAATATGCAAGTGCATCAGAAGGTTCGCTTTCCAAGGAGAAAGGTAGTAAATTAAGTAAAATGCTCAATGTAAAATACTGAACATTAAATACGAAAACAGATATATATATATTCATTTTGTGTATTAATTTACGATTAAATACATATATATATATATATATATATATATATAGATAGATAGATAGATAGATAGATAGATAGATGTATATTAATCATTTCACCCAAAATATGGCGACAGTTGATAGTTCATGGAGTGAAAGAGAATGAACGTATTGTAAATGGTTTGGATTGAGGGAAGGATAAAAATGGAACAGTCTTCTAGAAAACAGAGGATATCGACTGACGTTGCATTTAAATGCCTAAAGATTGTAGTTATCAGGGAAGCAAGAAATGGTAAGTAAGCTGCAGTGGTGAGAAGTGATAGAAAAGTAACTATTGGAATAGAAGTGGCGGTTGCATGAGCTAGTTCAACAGTAAAATTCTGAGACTTTCTTGCTAATCTAGTATTACACCTAAGTTCACGTAGCCGGTGCACCAGGGTAAAAAGCTCACCAGAGCAGTTACTATTAAAATATTTGTAGAGATCTCAATGAAATCAGATCGTTCTGTAGCGATGTCACGTCGGTAAGAAAATGAAAGAAGTCGAGATGCCTTGTGAGGATAATTACTGACCCTTGATTGATGTTTTTCAAGAATATCGAGTTGGCAGATAGAAAAACCAGACCAGATTTGTCAACATTATTCAATGAATGGACGAATGGCATATTTATAAATGTGGATATCTATAGAGAAATGTTCTTTTCTGGCACGGCAAACTGAACCAATTTTCTTTGTAACAGACGTAACAATTGATTCGGTATAGTCGCTTCATTTCATGTAGTGGAAAACGTAAGGTCAAAATGCCATAAAGTGTTGTACACCTGGAGTTTAGCATCAGCAATGCTGATGTCAGACAAAAAGTGATGATTAATTTAAGTTAGTTTTATTTTGGAGGTGTTACAATTTAGAAGACATTTATTAGCCACACTTTGGAAGTCGTTTGCAAAAGCAGTTGCCACGTTTACCTTGTCTGTTTTAATGCTAAGACAAAGGGCAAATTGTAGTATTATCTGCATAAATACCTAGTTTGGATCTGATAATATTGGAGAGATCATTGATGAAGATCTGAAACGGTATGGGTCCAAGAATCGAACCCTAGTGCAACTACGCGTTAGTAGGAAATAATCTGGGAGTCTGCCCTTTCAACACGATCTTCATTGCACGATTTTTATGAATGATCCAAATAAGCCATGTGACACCGTAGCCCTACAGCTTGCTATCGAAGGTC